AGCAAATTTATCCATCTTTCTACAACTGTACACTGTTAGTTAGTTATGTCACACTAGTTTTAAAGTCAAGTAATATAGCAAATCAGTCAACAGTTAAATCATTTGAAAAATTAATGTAATTAACTATGTGATAGAGTATATGGGTTTTTGTTAAGGGTTAATGTTAAGTATTTATAAATATTTTGTTATTAAACAAATTATGTATTTATTATATTAAAGTTATAAAATTATAATTTTTTTTTATTTTTAATCAAATTTTATTATTATTAGTTGCTTATTCTTATTTTTAATACTAAAATTAAAAAATTGCATGTGTGTATATCTTTTCCTGTGCATGTGGGGAAAAAATTGCAATCTATTAGTGGCGAAGAAGACATGTAAATTCGAATTTTCTTCTGTTGGTTCTCACTTTAGTCTCTACTTAGTAAAATTATAATCGTGTATTATATTTAATGATCTTTAATGATAAGTTAATTTTGTTATAAAAATTAAAATTTTTCAATAAATTAGCTTTTATTAGTATATAATTTTTTAACAATAATTGAATGATTAATAAATTTTAATTTTTACTTACAAAATAATATAATATATTAATAAATAATTTCATTAATACAAAAATATATTAGTATATGCTATCAAAATACAAATGTTCATATACTGTATTATTTTGTTGATATAAACAAAAATTATACAAATAAAAAATATCTTAATATTTAGTAATTTTTAATCGTTTATTTTGCAATTGATTATTTAGATCAATGTTAATAAAAGTTTTTAAGAATAACCAATATTTAAATAACATTGACTAATATTCATTAACAATGATCAATCTTGTGACTAATTGGAAAAAAAAATACCAATCATTATAAACAACTAGATGCACTATATAGTTGTAATTTTGTTGAAGAGAAATATCTATTATCACTCTAACATATTTATTATCATTCACGACCTACATTTTTTATTATTAATTGAATTAAAAAATAAAAGTAATTAAAAAAACAACAATAAATATTTTAAAGTAACAACAAACTCACCATTTATATTTATTATATATGTGTACTAAAACTATCAATTATGAAAACATTTATTTTCAATCACTAACATGGCATTAGAGCAGAGTCTGTGACAAGTGCTCTGCCACCAACCTATCTCACAATCCATACCATCCTTGAGCAGATAAAATAAATTGAAATTAATTTTGATTTTAAAAAATAAAATAACTGTTGTTTAATAATTTTAAAATTAAAAAAATTATTTATTATTGCATTTCATCTTACTAAATTGTTCTTATTCTATCTTTAGGCAAAACATGTGACCGTGATGAAAGTTGTCAACTACCATCTGCACCCTCCTCATCCAATCCCACCCATTATCTGATGTCCACCAAATTGTATCAGCGTTTTTGTCAAAAAAAATAATTGAAATCCTAAAAATTAAATAAATTTTGAATATTTTAAAAATTAAAATTAATTTTTTTAATCAAGTTAGACAAGATTTTAGATTTAATTTTAAAAATTAATCCAATTTACTTTAAAACAAACTATTTATGAAAAATATTATCACTTATACTTATATAATTCTATATTTATTAAATTATAATTTTTAATACTTTTATAGTTTTTTAATTTAGATTTTATTATTTTAATGTATTTATAACTATATTAATTTTATATTAATTTAAATTTATTTTTAGCTATAATATTTTTTATATAAAATAAGTTTTAATTAAAAATCATACAAAGAGATAATAAATAATTTAGTTATTATGTTTTAACTAAATTATAAATTAATTTATTTAATTAAAACTATTATTAATCAAATCAGATTAAATTAAAACTTTATTTAAGTAAATTCAAACTAAACTTCATTAAAAATTGGAAGATTTTCCTTATTAAAAAAAATTTCTTAAATATAAAAAACTTAAAATTTTATTTGTTTAATAAGTTGGAACAGTAATAAGAGAAATTTATAAAAAAATTAAATTATTCATAATTAAATTCCTTTTTGCAAGCGTATGCAATATCGAATAAAATGTATTTTGAAAATTATTTTATATTAGATACTGCTAATGTAGATATTAAGAAATTTAAATTTAAAAAAGTGTAACAATATTCTTATCAATATATTCTTTTCATAATTTATATTGAAAATTTTTTATTTATTGATTCTTTGAGATATTCATTTTTTTTCATATATAATACAAAAAATATTTCAGAGATAACTTTTGGAGAGCTAGTGATGCACACACTTAATTAGCATGCAAATGTTTGAATAATATATGAACTTAAGCTAAAAGAACATATTAGCATTATCTTTCCCAAATTATAAAATGAAAAACATGATCTTGAATTTAAACTTAATTATGTTAAAAAAAGAAATACTTAACATAAATTTAGTACACTTGAATTAGAACACTAGGCCAATAACATCATTAATTATAGATTATAATCATAATAAATTAAGAAGTATCACAACTAGTTTTGCTTATGGCATGGGCTATTATTCCTTAGCTTCAACGATGAGTTTATGGCTCGTGGACTTGAGAGTGATATGTCATAGTTATAAATTACATTTTTAAGGCCATCATGCAAAGAATTTGATAATGGAATTTACGTGCTCATGACAATATCATCCTTAAACACCCATCTCAATTATCTTATATCCATTCAAATTTTGATATATTCATCTTCTTCATCGCTCAAATGATTGCACATAAAGTGCAAAATGTCAAATATTTATAACCCAACAATTTTAAGTGTTCTTATTAATTATTCTGATAACTCTCTTAATTATTAAATGAAAAAAAAAATACTGAATATTTTTTATACACCTAAAAATATTAAATATATTTTTATTTAATATTGCAAGAAGTTCATTAAAAAAAATATTATGATATCACGTAACAATATTTCTGTGAACACGATTGCAGCATAGAATCAATTATTGTTCCATTTTCTTTTTCTTCGTAGTTTCATATCAATAATTGGGTACCTGTTGCTTGAACATGATGTTAGTAATAAGAGCTTTCTTGAAGTTATTAGCAATCTCTGCAATGTGGGTATCTCTATCATTTTATGCTTAATTAGTTGGAAAGACTATTCATGAACATGAGTGACTATATAATAAGTCCATTCAAAAGAAAATTATTGCTCACTTGTAGACCTCATTACAAGAAACAGATCATGCTTTCCACCTCGTACTTTGACAAAATAGTATGTTAAAAGAAATCTTTAAGGATATTGACTGATCAAAAAATTAAAACTGAAATGACCTTATAATAAAAGTAATTTCTAGTAAAATAAATATTTATTATTTAATATCCTTAAGTCCATCACCACTAGATTACAAAAACAGTTGTTGCATTAGAAATGCAAAAACATTTAATAGTTTAACTGCGATTTGAATTATGTTAATTAAAAAAAATAATTTTAACATTAAATATATTTGAATAATTAATTGATACAAAATTATAAAATATTAAATTAAGCAAAATTTGAATTAACATAAAAAAATATCATATGACACATTCTTTAAGATTAAAGACCTACAATAAATAGTTAAATGATAACAATCCATATATGCATCACATATATGAGTTTTAATTTTTTTAAAATTATATATATATAGTAATCTCCAAATCTATGTTCAGCTTTAACTTCCCGTATTCCCAACTAGAAAATTCAGCCAATCAGTAATAATACAAGTATCAATTTCCAAAGAACAAAAAAAGGAAAAAGGAAAAAACAATGGGCTCTGCTCTTTTTCTTTTCTTCAAATTGGAATATGATGCCTCTTAAGCCTTCTTTGAGACAATCATTCTCTCTTGTTTTCTAAGATCACAATAATTAGTTACAGTTGCGCGATATTCACATGATTCTATGCACTGAAAATATGAGTAGCTTTTTAGAAATATTATAATAAAATATGCAACATATGTATAACAGTTTAATATTTATTACAAGTAAATGTTTGCAAAAGTTATTGCTTGCTGTTTCCTTAAATGTCGTCTTTTTTGGAAAATTATACTTTTGCAATATATCATATATGTGTATATAAGTCCTGTCTGCTTGTTCACAACATCGGAACATACGCAATTATTTCAAATCAAAACGATATACTTTTGCTGTTGTTACCATCTTCAGAATTGTAGCTGTTGTAATCTTTTTTGTTGCAATTTCTTGTAGAGGACAATGATATGGGTTTATGCAAAGCCCAAACCACTACGTATTCCTTCCATTTCTTTCTTTCTTTCTTTCTTTCTTTCTTTCCTTTTGTTAGTTTTTAATTGATGTAATATATATTGTTATATTTTCATGAAAATACCCTCGCTTATACCTCTAACCATTTCATTTACTCTTTGTTGAGAATTAATTTTAAGAGAAAAACATAAAAAGGTAATTAGTTAAATTAAAATCCATCCATAAACATTCAATAAGGATACAAGTAAAAAAAGAATTAAGTAAGTTTTAAAAATCTAAAACAAAATTCTTTTGTGAAAAAAATTAAAATGCTAAAATAACAAAACACAGAGATTGCAACTGTGGAGCACTTGACCACTTGGGAGGTAGTGACATCATGTCAATAATTAATTCGCTTAAAAGTTTAAGACTCAAATGATTTCAATTTTACATCTCTAATAGATTGAACAGATACATCCTTTTCCAACTTTCTAATTACTTTCTCATTATAGTAAAATCATTAGGATATCAGCTATTGTCAACAAACTGTATCTGTCTGTATACCATAAACAACAAAGGCAAATCTCAAAATCAATGCCAACAGTATCCTAACCCAAAAAAAATCAATGTAAGTTTAGGTTAAATTATGAAGACAATCCTTATTATGATTTTAGAAAAATATAATTTTGTTAAAAAATGTAAAACCACAAGACAGCATTCAACTAATGATTTTAAAGGCAACTTTATGAAAGAGTTTATCTATGAAATAGGGAGAAAAAAAAAAAAGGAAAAAAAGAAGAAGAGAGGCAGTGTTCCAAAATAATTGTTATTTTTCTCTAGAACAGAGATGGGCATAATAATGTATTTGCCTGAGTTTTGATGGAAATCATTCAGAGAACATATATAGAAGTCATGATACAATAAGTGTAATCATCAATTTTATACACTGGAAATCTAAAATAGGAGTCACTTCTCAATAATAAGATGACAAGAAAGGATACTGTAACCAGTATGACTGAACCTACCAATGAAAACATCTATAAACTCTTCATTAACACTATAAAAAGTTCTCTGTGACATACATGCAATTATTCTAACTACGTGCCAAAACTGTATTCTGTTGTACGGAATAAAATAAAAGAAAACCTCTGAACTCTTTAAAGTTTCCATTTTCAACAATCTATGATGGAGCCTAGCTGGTGAAAGACCGACATTCAAACATTTACAGTAAAGAGATCTGTCAACTCATTGCGTAAGCTTAATTTTCAAAGCTTGCTTAAAGGATCAATTGCCTTTTCTCTTTAAACCCTTTTTCAGAGTATCAAATTCAGATGAAGAAGCTCTTAATTCTTCACTTCAAGACCCAGAGGCCAGACCTTCTGTTGATTCAGAACTAGGCCAAACCAGAAAGGTTTAAGAATTATCACGTAATGTAGGAAAGCTAACTCCATCCTTCAGATGGCTTACTGCCGTGGGACATAACCATTTCAGCATGTTTGTACCTAAAATCTGGTCAAGAAACAAATGAACATATTGTCAGGTAATAACAATCAGCAAATATGTGCAAATTAGTGCCAGTCAAGACCACAGAATAGTGAGAGACCAAAGTAATGTTTTTGTATGCACCAATGTTGAATGGATGTCGATAGCTCTGCCCAGATTTCATAGCCAGCCATTTTGCACGATTTCCTTCATAATACTGGAAAAAAGGCACAAAATGACATCTGATAAGACATTGGTAAAGACAAAAGGCTTTTCAATGAAGTGCATCCAACTGAAATCCCACCTCTATTGTTGTCATGTTATGAAGGACAAGGTAGACATGCCATCCAAAAAGAGTCAGAAGAGTTACGGTCAAGGCCATCACCATCATTCCATACAAGACCTAAACATCATTCACAAGTCTTATTGTTAATTTGTAAGTTATGAAACTTAAGTATTAATGCAAGAAGAAAGAGTTAGTCAAGTTTTCAGTTCTCAACAGAAAGCCATGAAAAGTTCCATTCTGTGACTCAATCTCTAATTGTAAGTTTATAATCATCATAAAAAAGGAAAAAGAAAACAGGGTTACTTCATCATTTACTTAATTACTTGTGGTGGATAAAGAAGAGAGTCCATACAATGTATATGTCAAGTATGACGAAGTTAAAATGTAATTGCAGCAAACTAATGAAGGAAATGCATAAGGATTATATCTCAACCTTAGACAATGCCTCAGCTTAAAATTGGAGGAAAAAGGCAACTAGGATTACGAGCAATTGAACGGACCAGAGGCAAACATGTAATAACATGAATGGAATACAAGTAAAAATGACAAATTCATGCAGTTGAACATTAGAAAGGAGAAATATGAATGGCCGACAAGTTGTTTTATATATGTCTCTAATATGAGTACAAATCTATGACACACGCATTAGAACATCCATCAATTATAGCATGAAACTTACATAGAAGATCCTAAGAGAATTCCCTTTAATAAGCTCCCAGTCCTTCTGAAGTACACAGCTTATAAATATGACCTGCACATTGCAAAAGCTTATGTCAAATAAGAATCCTGTCCATTACAAAAACAAGTAGAAGCAGTGATGATATGGTGTAGAATAAGAATCCTGTCCATTACATACCGTAGAATAAGTACTTGCTATGGTGGCATATAATACAAAAACAAAGAAAGCCTTATAATTCCAATAACCAACACAATTATTTATCCACAAGCAGTGATGATCCTACATCAAATTGAGCAAGCAAACAAAAAGGTCAAACTTCACGAACTCAAATGCAAAATTCAAACTCTAAACAACATCCACTGCCGAGAAGCAACCAACCTACCATTTTCAAAATACACCTTCTGCAGACTCGACAATGGTGAGTCCTCGGGGGCTTGTAAGCAAAGCACTTGTCACATTTCTTCCCTTGTGCACTCTGCAGCAAATTTGTTAAGGATCTCAGTAATAGATCAAACAATGATCACATACATGTAAGAATTGACAAAACATAACATCAAGAGCTTATTCCGTCACAAATACATCAAGTTAAACCATTCCTTCGCCATAAAAAATCATGATGGGGGTGCGAACAGCTATAGCTTAAGCACTGCAAATTATTAAATAATCACAGATAGTACCTAAATTGAAACACCTGCGGCATTGATCCAGCGGGAATTTACAAAATTTATAAAGATTAAGAGAAATTCAGTCAAATTTCCTACTTGATTAACACAGGGGACACATTTCCCAAAACACCAATGGTTCCTGAGATTGATTCAACAGAGACCCAAGAGAGAGAAGTGAGAAAAGCTTACATCTTTGGAGAATTCGAGATCAGGGGCATAGGAAGAAGGGACGTGACCAGGGTCGGTGAGAACGCAGGTGAAGAAAGAGAAGAGAGAGAGAAAGGCGAAGAGAGAAAAGAGGTAAGCATTCAAAGCGCCAGGGGAACTCTGCAAATGGAGCCAATCATGGAGGAAGACGAAGATTGAAGTGTAATACAGAAAAAGCATCAACGACAACACTGCCAACACAGGCAATGATAGGAACCTTCTCCCCTTCATGGACATGCCAAAGGAAAAACCCCTTCTTTCTTTCTCTTCTTCCTCCGTTTTCAAGCACTTTTCTAAAACTTTTTAACATAACTTAGATTAATAATTTAATTTAAATACTTTACATGGTCTTTCAATCATTAATTGTTGTTTTACTAAAATTATCTATCTTTTAATAAGTATTTTTAAAATTATATTCACAGTAATATACTAATATTTAATCATTTGATAATATTATTTTTTATATCAACAGTATATTAAAATTTTAAATTAAATAATAAATTTATTAAAATTAATAGAAAAATAGATGTATATTAAAAATTTGTACTATATTTTAAATATTTATAATATTTAGTGGTCAAAATTATAATTTATATATTAAATGAATTAACATATATAATTATATAAATAATGAATAAATATTTTATTAAAACTAATTTATCATAAATAAGAGTATGTGTGTATATATATATATATTGTAATTAATATATATATATATATATAATTTTTATAATTAAGATAAAAATATTTATAATTAATTTTTCTAAAAAATAATACGATGCATTATATTAGCCGGTATAAATATACTTTTAAGATAAAATAGATTTCATTTTGTTATAATTTCACTTTTTTTTAATTATTACTGAGTGTTAATATTAGCCTGTATAATTCACAAGGTTTTAACATGACATTCATCACAAAGTTAAGTATCAATAGCTATAGCTTACAAATTATTGGGCTTTAATTTTCTTTTAAAAGATAAGTATATGTTTATTTTGGCTTATATTTTAATTAACTTTATAAAATAAACTAAATTAAATACATATGATTTTAATTAACATAAAAACAATATAAATATATTTATAATGTATTATAATAAAAAAAACGTATATTTATATTTTTAAAGTGAACATTTATATTTGTATAAATATTTTTAAATTCTTATACAATAAAAAAAAGTAACAAAAATAATACTTTTATCATTAATCAATCATTTGTTAAGTTAAAAATGAGAGAATGCAACTTTAATTGAATTCATTCGGAAATCAAGCAAGAGAAGAACTCAGTGCTCCTTACATAGTAAGAGCATTACCTAGATTTTAAAAAAAAATTATAAGAGATTTAGTCTTTTAAAAATTTACAAATTTTATTTTTATTCTATTTTTAAAATTATTCATTTTTATTTAATCTTTCTAATAATGATTTGTTAATTTAGTTTAATATTTCTTCATATAACAGCGATTTATATAATTTAATTGAGAAAATGTGAAAGGTTGACATAGTGATATAAAGTCTCTTATATTCATACAAATATAATTAGAAGGAAATCTTGGGTTCAAGTAGGAATTAATCCTAACGTTTTTGTTTAACATAATAATTTTATCTATTTGAATCTAAGTTCTTCCAAGTAGTACATTGCATGAGCAATGTCAAAAACCACACAAGTAAATAACAAAAATCCAACAAATCATTAATAAAGAAATTATATAATTTTAAAAAAATAATAAGAAAATTATTTTAAAAATAAAAAATAAAATAAAATAAATTTTTTTAAACGACTATAAACTTATTTAATCCTCCTAAATATTACTCGTGTCATTTATCTTCAATCATCCCTTCGCATGGCGTATACAATTGTTAGCTATTGCTTCCTTTTCCATCTCAGTTGTAAGGACAGTATAGTTTATAGTTTATCAGACTTTCTTTTTATCAGAAAAAAAAGAAGATATAACTCATGATTTATCAGAAAATTGAAGGCCTATAAACTTCTTAGCATTCTTTTCCTTTGAAATAATGGAAAAATTGTTGCCTCTGATTCTCAGATATTTGCTTCCATCTATCAGATTAACACCGGGTTGGAGGGAGCTGTCTCATTGATTGTAATTTGCCCTTGATGATGACAACGATATTAAGATATCATGCTCTAACATCAAAGTGTTGAATTATTTGATAATTTAAGTGATTGATTGTAAAAGTTGATCAAGAAGCATTTGAACTAAAAAAAAATTAATCTCACAACTGGAGTAAGAAAAGGAGGATTTGAAAATGAAAATTGAAGCTACCAAAGAAGAAAAATATAATATTTCAGGGCTATGCAATTCAAAATTGCACGTATTACTTGTAATATATACAACAAAGACAATGTAAGAATATATATCTTAGGTAAAAGGGTGACATTATTAAAATGATTATCAATTTATCAAGCCTCAACATACACTTATGTGGTTGTCTCTCAAGTACAGTTACCAACAAGGTGACAATCTTGTTTCCATCTCAAGAAGGAAAAGCTAAATAATGATGCAACTCTTCAAATTCAAGATGAAGATCACTATCACAGAATCCTTAGCTGGCATTCATGCTGGCACTCATGGATATTGCAATCTTGTTTCCATCTTTTGCCAGAGACAGGTTGGTTGTGCACTAAATGAGCCCTTAGTTTGTGTAGATAAAACATTAATTTAGAGAAATAATTGTTTATTTTTCAAAAAATGTTTTAGAAAGTTAACAGAAATAAGTGCTTGTTTCACCAAAATAAGGTGAACCAAACACACAGGCTTGTAGAGTTTGCATATCACAATGACTCGGGAATATATGGGTGAATGATGAACCTCTAGAAACTCTTCTAGCCATCTGCAACTGCGTATATTTGACTAATCTCTGTTTAGGGTGCATTTAATCTGAAAAAAAAAAAGAAAAAAACTCAAAATTGTGATACAACAAAAGCTTTAAGAAATTTGAAAAATATTAATTGTTGCAGGGATTGAAGGACCGCATTCCGGTGATCATCTAACTGTCTTGCATCTTTTTTTTTATGTAACATGGTGAATTGTTTGAAGTAGTAGGTTTTATTATTGCTTTATAGCCTATTTTTATATTGTTGTAGCTTCTATAGGCAATCAATCAACTGAAGTTTAGGTGTTAAATTGAAAATTTTAAGTGGGTTTATTTTTTAATACATCAGCATCATAAGTCTATCTAGTTTCAGTTTTCAATAATAAATATGCTATTCCTCTCACTAGTAGATTCTAACAGGGATAGATTAGTTGGATATGATCTTCTATTGCACTAATCATGTTTGCATCAAACACATTGATGCATCAGGGCATATACGGTCTGATATATATTTATATACACTTCTAAAATGTAATTCTCTAACATGAGGCTAGATTAGTTGATTCATGATTAATTAGAGAAGACATTTATTTTGATTAATTAGTAAGGTAAATATATATTGATTTGACAATTTTATTTAACAATGTCACACTATATTTTAAAATATTTTTTTAATGTGTAACATTGCACAATAGAAAAAAATTATATATGATAAATTTTCATAAAAAAATTAAAGCATTTAATATTATTACTGTATTAAATTATATATTTTTTAATAAAAAAATAATTATATATATGAATTTTATTCTCTACAATATTGCAAAGGTTAAAAAATTAATTTTAAAAATCATATATGAAATATAATACATACACTTGTTATATAGCTACATATGTCTTATCTAATTCCAATATTTCGTTTAACTCATTATTACACAATAAATCATCATATAAGAATTATGTCATATACTTGCACATTATTTTAATCTTTTTCTTTATTTTTCTCTGTGTTACGTTACATTACATATCATATCATTCACTATTTTTCTTTTATCTTCTTAAATATGAATATCATATTTCCATCTTATATAGTTTTGTTTGTCACACTACATACAAAACTGTCTTTTTAACACTCTTATTTGTGGCGCCAAATAACATATAAAAGACATTCAGGTCCATAACAGTGGTCAATTTTGATATCATATAGTTTCCTGTAACGTTGAACATTGGAGATGAGGATCATTCTTCAATGTGGGGATAGCATTTCTTCTCTATGTGGACCCTTACAGTACACATAATTTTGGCTGTTGTTGATAATTTAATGAAAATGAGGTTGCTGTAGGACACACAACATTTGTAAAGAAGAATCTGTGCACTGCCAATTAAAAGGAGTGGTGAAATTGGGCTTGGCAAACAATGCAAAGTTAAGGAGGTACAACAGCAGTTGGCACAAGTCACTGAAAATATAGGGACCAGGATCACGGTCTATTTTGGGGGACCATGCATATATGATGAACTTTCATTTTCCGTTAATTTTGGCTAAAAAAAGATTACCAAAATGAGCAGAATAAAAATGCTAACTACAAAAGTGTATGCATTAAGGTAAGATGTATCACAATCAAAGGACAAATAATATCAAGGCGAGAACAGTGTCCTTAACGAGAATGATAATTAACTCTCTTCACTGTGCTGTGTATAACTATAAACCAAAGTCCCTAATATCTTTAAGCCCATTTCTTTAGCCTATTTAAACTAAGTTAGGAAATATATAACCAATTTGTCGTACATAGAATAGAACACTACAAAGTAGAAAATATTAAAGCACTTCAATATTTGAATACATTATGTGTGACACAACAGATAATATATATGAGAATATTGAGATAATGATATATGATCGAGGGGACATTTTAAAAAAACTATTTAAGAATAAGACCCAACTACACTTCTTTCACTGTTAAGATTGGATATCTGCTGTTTTTCTTAATTTTTAATAACTTAATAGTTGAATCAGTTAATTTTATATTTTATAAAAATTCTTAAAAAAAATATAAGTGACCAACCAATCTTACTATATAGAGTCGGTGCTGGCCGTACAAAATGATAACTATAGTTCATGTGCTCTACCTACGGATCTGTACACAGTATGATATCTTAAGTTCTTGGGATACTGGTTGAAACTGCGAAAGACTAGCAGCAATCCAAAGTGCTTCTGTCAAATAGAGGTTAATTTCATATATTATTTAGTAGCAAATGATCGTTTATATGCACATTTTAAGTAATAGAAGTGAATAATAGTTTTTATATAACCAACAACCCTCCCTCCTACACTACTTAGAAGATTTTAAAAATCTAAAAAAAGATAATGGGATCTCTTCTTCTTTTTCTTTTTATTTACTCTTGATTGTTCTTTTCATTTTCCCGTTCAACTTTGAAAAATATC